AAATTGCTATTTAAAATTGTTAAAAAATAATGTTGGGGAATTTAAAACTTTTTCAATAAAGGGAAGAGTACAATAATGAGCTTTAGAATTCTTGTATTAACAGGACTTCAGAATAGTTTAAGGATTATAAACCTTAGAAACTCAATATCAAATCAGATATAGGGGCTAAACTATAGCTCATAATAAGTTTAGCACATTAGCCACTTGGCCTGCAACAATATACTTTGATAACCCACAATATTGTCCAAACTCCAAGTACAAATATTTTATGTCTTAAATATAATTGAGATTATGTGCAATTGACCTATTTACTCTAAAGGTTAAAATATTTGTTTATAGCAAAATATATCTAAATATTTGTCCTATAACTCAATTTCTTAATACAGTTTGTCCCTCTGTATCTGTAGGTTCTGTATTTATAAATCCAACCAAATGTGGATTGATAATACTTGGGAGGGAGATTATTTTTTTAACCATTATTCCCTGAAAAATACCATCTAACTCTATTTACTTAAAATTCAGAATGTATACATATAATAAATGACCTAGAGATTATTTTAAATAATCTCTGGTGGATATACATAAGTTATATTCAAATATTATTTCTTTTTATATAAGGGACTTGAACATCTACAGATTTTAGCATCCACAGCAGGGTCCTGTAACCAATTCCCCTTAGATACCAAGGGATGACTGCAGTAGATAATTATATTAGTTTTAGTGTTATTTCTCCTTAATGAGTTAATTTTACAAAGCTCCAGGAAGTTGTAAAATACATAATCCAAGCTAAATTACATAAAAGCAAAAACTAGAGCACTTTAGATGCAGCTGAGTTGCACATTTCTGTAATAAATCTCTTCAGCTCTGTTCACTTTTCTTGAACACCTCTATATCTATATTGCTTTTTATTTTCCTCAACCCTTTAAGAATGTCTCCATAAAAAACAAGTAACTCTTTAAACCTTCCATATCTTTTTCCAGGGAGACATTGTCAGGGTGCTGTGCAGATTTCTGAAATGCAGTTTATCATGATCTTTCTCTAACAAATGCTTGCAGATGTTCCACACCATTTTTCTAACTTTGTCATGCTCCAAAATAATTTATGCTTTGGTAAAACAATATTATAGAGTTTTATAACAGCAAATATTCCTACATAACCCTTATGCAATGTTTTTGTTTACTTTAAGTCATTCAAGCCTCTCTCAATAAGTGTTCCTCCCCTCTTACTATCATTCCTGTAATTGGAGTGAAATAAATCACAATACATTCTGGAACCAAATTTTCTCTTTTAATATTAATTTAGAACCATTTCCTATTGAAGTACAAATCAATATTCAAATAGAGATATGAAAGATGTCATAAAAATTTTTATTTATATTTTATAAATAATGTAACTCATACATGAGAATTCAAACCATTTTAAATTTGATCTACTTTAAGAACAGATGAAATGATTATCTTTTTGTACATCTTGAGAATATAATCAGAATATATTATATCCAGAAGTTGATTCCAAAGCAATTCAGCTACCCCTTTTCCTTTTTTTCTGTATATTTCTGACAAGGTTGTCTCAGACTGATACTAGATTCTTTCTTCAGTTTTATTTCAGCTTGTCATCAAAGTTTCCTACTTATTGTATTTCATATATTGTTTTATATATTTAATAAATGTTAACTCTTTTTATACTATAAATACTCTTATCCTCATATTTTTATATATATATATATAGATAGATAGATAGATAGATAGATAGATAGATAGATACAGATTTTTTTTAATGAGGAAATTGAGATGTAAAGAAGTAGAATAGTTTGCCCAAAGGCATGTAGCCCATTCAGGACCCCACACCACGGAGCTCCTTAGAGTAGGCTGACTCTCAATAATCAAATTCCTAAAGACTGGACAGAACTTTTAGCTAGTTACCTTTACTAGTAAAAATTCATGTATACAGCTAAAATAGCAAGTTTCCTTTATGAATAATGTAATTTCACATGGGAGTATTGTAGAAAGGCAGCTGCATTATTACATGCTATTTTCCTTATCCATAGACTGGGTCTTCATTGTGGAACATACTTAGGAAGCAGCTTTAGCCCAATCCAGTAGAACATTTATTGAGGACCTATTACCTATACATTATAGACCCAGACATGAAATGCAGTACTCTGAGCCAACACAATGCCCTAAATAACCTGTTCTATTTGAGCCAAATTTCAGGATATGAGTATTTAAAACAGCAGAAGGTAACTTGTCCAGAATATTTGTAGGTCAGCTTTAACTTAGAAGATCTATTAGAGGTCAGGGTTGTCCGAGGCCAAGGGCAAGTGTTAGGTTCTGAGAAATGGCCTTCTCTGGAATGATACTACATGCTGAACTCTGGGGTTGGAGCATGTCTCAGGATCCGCTCTGTACATGCCCTCTCAGCAACCTCATGTTATGTATGAGTTGCTGATTAATTTTGTACTGAAAGAAGTGCTTTGCTGAAATCTTGTATTTCAAGTTTAATGTGGCAACTTTTAGGACAAAATCCAGCTTGAAACAGATTGCTGCCTATTTAAGCAGAGAGGGTAGCTTAACTAGTACAAAAAAGAAAAACATTTCTAGATCAGAAAAAAAAATTGGAGAAGGGGAGCAGTTAGGGGAGAAAAACATATCTGCTGGAAAGAGCCAAGACACACAACTTGGGAGAAAACATCTCCACCCAGCAGGAAACCCAGCTGAAGGCAGAACCACCACAGGAAAGGAGATGAAGGAAGACTCCTCCTTGTGTCATCTGAGCTCAGGATTCATGGACATTTAGGCTGAAGAATTCGGCCCTGGGTTGTTCATATCCGTGGTGTCACTGAGTTTCCTTTGATGGAAACACAGTGACTCAGAGTTCTGTGAGATGATTTTATTTATATGTTATTTATTTATTTTACCACTGGTTGAGTGTCAGCAACATGAAGAATATTGTAAAGAACAGCAGCTTTACCTGAGAATCTCTCAGCAATTAGATTTGGATTTAGGACAACAAAGCAATCGATATTTTAAGCCCAGACAGCAGAAGAACACAGAGGAAATTCATGATTAAACATAGAACTCTCCTAATAGTGTAAATCCAGGGTTGTTTTTGTTTGTCTTAGACTTGCTGTCAGTTTTATGAGTGTGGTGATTCTTCAGAAATTTCTAAAGTAGTTACAGAGGATGGAGAAAACCAATCATTGGAAGAAAATGTGATTCCCTACTTGGAGAATACATATGTATGATGGGCCTTTAAAGCAGAAAGACATGGTTTGCAATCTGAGATTCTCCCTTTCTCTTTATTCACTGCTTATCTTCAGATCACATGTTACATTACCTCTATAGGCATCTACTACCTCATATGGAAATAGGAGATAATATCCCATTTTCCATGGTCCCTGAAAGGATGAAATTAGGCACATAGAAAATTACACTTGGTACAATGTTTGGTATCAACCATTTCCTTCCCAGGATATCATAATTTTGCCATCCTGAACTGTTGAACAGCACATGATATTTTAGATGGTACGACACATATTTGGAACACAGGAAAATGTATGTTCTATCTGGAATTATTTTTAATAAAGCATTAAATGTAGTTATCTACCTTAATTTGTGATATTTTTGAGCTTAATATTTTTAATGCATGTTCCAAAAAATGAGCAAAAAACTCCAGGTGAATTTAAAAGTATATAATGACACACAGTGACACATTAGAAACTTTTTTTTTCATATTTATACTGATGGCATCTATGCAACTAAATATGGTCTTATTCTGTGTGCATTGCCCCTATCTCTCTGTTCTCATTTATGGCCTGCATCTGACCCATGGCAGTCTATTTATGGCCACCTTACATCTGACAGGATGAAGGATCTGAAATAGAAACAAAAGGACATAGTAGTTGAAAGCACCAAGGTCACACACATGGATGGTCTCATGAGAATTAAAGATGATAAGATCACGGATGTAGCATGGCACTTAGTGATAGGAAATAGGTGGAAGTAGACAGCTACCACTTGATGAAAACAGATGTATAGATCAAGGGACACAAATAAAACCAAAGGTAACATTCTTTCAAGAGTTGTCCTATTAAAAACAAAGCTTCTTAGACTCATTTGTTAATTAGAGTTATAAAATATAAGATGCAAGAAAGAATGAGAGAATGAGGATGGAAATTATTAAACTATTAATATCGTATACTCTTCTTTGATGAAAACCATCCTTTTTTTTTTTTTTTGCACTTCAATTATATTTTCACAATGTTAATGCTGACTAAATTGACCTGGTTCTCATGACCTATATGTTTTGCAGGAGAGAAAAAAGCACTGTATAAGCACAGATCCCACCAGTCAGGAATGCATATTTGTAATCTTACATTTTTGAGGAGTAATTGACTTTATTCTCAAGCTTTTCAGAATTGTAGCTCTCTGAATAGGAATCTTCATTGGACAGTGATTATTATTATTCAGTTATATACTCCTGAATTGATTATATTCATTAAAAAAGGTTTACCTTTTATTTAAATTTAATTGTGAAATATCTAATTTTTGTTATGAAATGAACAGTTTTGTTCATGTTATATACAGCTACAATTTTACTTTTATTATTATTGAATTAATTAGAAAAGTCAGTAAATTGAAATATATCCATAAGTTCTGGGAAACAATAATCAATCTCAAAGTTACCCTGCCAGTTCCATTCTCAGTTATATGGAAACTGCACAGCTAGATGAATGAGTCTAGTATAAAATGAATCTGGGGACGCTTGTTTTATTTTTAAAATGGTCAAAATGGTTAGTCAAGGAATCTTGGACCACATTTAGCCAATGAAAAAATCAAAATCATAAACGAACAATAGACTCAGTCATCTCTTTCAAAATACAATAGCCAAGCATATTTTTGGTTTTGCATGTATCATTTTTAATTTCTCGTGTTTACAAAGGAATCAAATTTACAAAGGATCCAATTGTTACATTTAATTTGTGTGTTTTTATCTTTTAGGTGGATCTTCTTGTCCCTACCAAAGTGACTGGCATCATCACACAAGGAGCTAAAGATTTTGGTCACGTACAGTTTGTTGGTTCCTACAAACTAGCCTACAGCAATGATGGAGAACACTGGACTGTATACCAGGATGAAAAACAAAGAAAAGATAAGGTAAGGCATCTAAGTAGTTAACAAAGTTCACAACTAGAGGATCACATTCTATTCAAGTTGACTGAATGAGCTACACCCCCCCACACACACACACATAATGAAAATAACAGCTACAAGTCCTAAAAATTGTATGTTAAATAAGAAATTTTAAAGAAAAACCTTGTCAAGGAATTTGTAGTAGAGTGTGTAATTGGAAAACCTATAAAAAAAAAACTGCTTTTCTGATAACATTTCCCACCTTGTCAGTTGTTATAGCTATGTATGATTGACTTCATGTCTTAGAAACTTAATAGAAACTTGACTAATTTACCATACTGCATATATAAATGATTACTTCTGGGACACATACTACTATTATTACTTTTATTATCAAAACAAATTTCTGGTGCTAGAACAAACATTATTTAAGAAAAAAATTTCAAAAATTTACTATCTTTAAAATATTTAATATTTCCTTTATTATGTTTACAAGTAGGAAATTTAGAAATTAAAAAAAATATCATAGCAATTCATCAAAATTTTTCTGCTCAGTTATCCTGTTTGTATTAATAGGTTTGTTTGACTTTTCTTTGGGTTGTATAATATGTTTTTATAACTATCTGTGTCTACACATACAATATGATTCTAAGACTACAATTTCTAATTGGTTTTTATTAAGTTTTTATCATCTTGAAAACATCTTTTTATATATCAACAAGTGTCAAGTTCTGTGTGATCCTGAAGAATCATAGTGCCCAGGGGTAATACTAGTGCCTAATTAGGATCAGATATTAAAATTTTGCCTCAACTGAACTAATGACATTGAGTTAATTCATTGCTTAGAGTCTTCAGGCAAAGAACTCTAGCTTTCTGAAGACATCAACAGAAAAATTTAAGGGATTTCAGGGAAAATATGGCAACCTCTTTCATACACGTTAAGTATCTGAGTTAATAATGATTTTTTGTTTGATATTGGCCTTTTTCTCATACTGGTATCTTTATCCAGAGAGGTTGAGAATGTTTCTTTCTTCAAGTGTTGAAAGCAGAAAATTTATAAATTCCTCAGAAACACTAGGCCTGTAGTGGTAATTTCCATGAGTCAATAGAATCGGAATTCATTTCACACAAAATTCATTTTAGAAGAGATATTTTTACCTTCAGATCTGGGTAGCCAAGTTTATTTGCATTTAACTGTCAGAACAACCAGTTAATAGCTCAGGATACACATTCCTTTTACATTTTAAACTTTCAGAATAGGGAACATTTACTCTTTCCTTGGAAAACTTAAAATAAGAGCATGCTTTATAATCAATAGCACCATAGATTAAATGAAGATCGAGTATTTTGCAAACCTTTCTTCAAATTTATTTTATGAACTATAAACAATATTTTTTCAGTCTTTTTTTAGAAATAACTATTTCAGTTCCTGTCTTTTCCTTTTATAGTAGGCCCTCTGATGCATACATATGATTTGTTTCATATGGAGTTTTTTAAACTTAATTATATAGCCTTGAAATTAAATGTAAGACACATAGTATTTTCTTCTATTCTACATGTGTAATAAGTACAACTATAATATTAAAATCTGTGAGTTATTTAGAGAAGAAATGTAAAGAAAAATACTTGTCTCCATTTATTTTAAACTTTTAACTTATTGATTATATGTGAAAAATATTTAAATTTCTTCTTCATAGATAGAATAGACATTTACTTATTAATGCATTTTAATTCATCTCAGTCTGAACAAACATAAATTTTTTCTGTCAAGTTTGTCTAGTTGCTCTATAGTCTTTTTTCTTCCTTCCTTCCTTTTCTCTGTGTGTGTGTGTGTGTGTGTGTGTGTGTGTGTGTGTGAGAGAGAGAGAGAGAGAGAGAGAGAGAGAGAGAGAGAGAGAGAGAGATAGATACTAGGAATTGAACCCAGGGGTGTTCTACCACTAAGCTACACTTCCAGCCCATTTTATTTTTTATTTTGAGACAGGGTCTTGCTGAGTTGCTGAGGCTGACCCAGATTTTGGGACCTTTGCACCACAGTGTATGTAGCTGGAATTCCAGTAGTGCACCACTGTACCTAGCTTTATAGTGTTTTCCAAGTGTTCAATATTCATACAGATTTTTTATCTGTGTTCCATCAGTTACTGAGAGAGGAAGGTGGAAATCTCCAACTACAATTGTGGATATGTCTATTTCTCCTTACTGTTGTGTCAATGTCACTTCATGTGCTTTGAAGCTCTGTTAAAATATGCATAACAAGATTTTAGTGTCCTTTTGATTAAACAACCACTTTATCATGTAATATATTTTGCTCTAAAATCTACGTTGGTACTAATAGAAGTATAAGCCTTCTTTTCATTATTTTTTTAATGTTTTATTCCTATTCTTTTAACTTACTTATATTCTATATTTGAAATGCACTTATTCTATATAGCATACTCTGTATTTTCCATTATATCTCTGCTACTTAACTAGAGCATTAAAATCATTTATATTTGATTTGGAAATTGATATAATTAGGTTTAAAATTATCATCTTGCTATTTACTTTCTATTTTCACACCTTCTCTGTTCTCCTTTTTTGGGAGTGGGGCTTCTTTTGGATTAATTGGATTTTTAAATGATTTCATTTATGTCCTTTTAAACTTAGCTATAATATTTTGTTATTTTAGTTATTGCTTTAGAATTTATGGTCTACATTTTAAAATTATGAAGGCTGCCTCCAAATGAATGCTCAGGCCCAGGAACTTACCTCTAAAAGCCAACAAAGTAAATTGTAGTTATAAATTCATGTACATAGAACCACATTTATTATAATATATGATTTGGATATGACCAAAATAAGTCTATGTAAAAAAATAGGTTTCCATTAAGAAACTTCAAAAATTGTGAAAATAGCAATGTACTACACTATTTACTGAAAAAATTATAAGCAGAAATTCTCATGTGAGGTGAAAAAAATCACTCTTTTATCTATACAGTGTGAAAATTTTTGAAAAATTGAACCATTTTTATACTAGAAACATATGACCTTTTGGCTAACTCAACCTATTTGCCTGATAGTTTTAAAATTAAAATTAAATCTAGTCAGTTAGCTTATAATATTATAACTAATTAGATACAATGAAAAAAAACCTAATATAAGTTTACTACTATTAGAGGAGACAATGGATACCTATAAACTACACATAAAAATGCAGCAATTAATATTACGATAAAGGAATATTTTATGTAGAAAAAGGAGCTAATAGGCATGGAACCTCTTCATTCCTTCATGGTAAGGGAGATTAATAACATAAATATGAAAATGTATTGCATAGATCCTTTAAACACTTAGAAAGTCAGGCTATATGAATATATGAATATGTACATATGAATATACAATATGTGTTTATATGCATGGCAACCCCTTGGTGAACTTTCTAATTCAGTAGATGAGGCACCGACTTGTCTGATCAAGAAAATCATGGAGAAAGGTTATTGAGATATATATCAATCAATATGTTTTTGATGAATATCAAAATAATTATTGTTGCTATTATTACTAGATATTTTACCTGTAATTTCAAAAATTTTCATTTTTTTAGGAGGTCTGAGTACAATTAGCAATTAACTTTCCTGGGATTAAATAAGTCATTTATTTCCTATTTATTCTTGACATTATTTAGGCCTTATTTTCCATGGTTACTTTCCATAAGGGAAAAAATAATTCTTCAATATTTGTAAGTGTAAATTCAACTATATAATAATTTAAATGTTTCAGGATGAATGTATACGTGAAAATGTTTTATAGATACATTTTTCAAAAGGAAATATTTACTAACAAAGGTTTCTATTTCTTTTATTTAATGCCTTCTGTTTTTTGGGGGGGTCTGCTTTCACAGATTTTGAGAGCATGGATATGGAAATTGAAAACAGATTCAGATACAAGATTACTTTATAAAAATAATCTCAAAATAATAACCATTTCTAGATTTACAATAAGTGGTGTAAAGGAAAATGTAAAAATACATGAATGCCCTTTCTGTTTTTCAGTAGTCAGAACTGACTAAGCTTCAGGATTTCAATGCCAAAAAAAATTTCCTATGTACATAGGAATATATAAATATACATGTGAATGTGTATGTGTACCTGTACATACACACATACCTAAAGTCGAGTGAGAAAAAAATAGACGCCTTGTTCTCTTCACTAAGACACCAGTTTTTGACTACCCTCCCACAGTGTTCACAAGATTGTAACTTTCTTTAGTATTCTGTTTTATAACAACACTACACATTAAATCTTTTGTAACTGAGCCTGTGATGACACTCTTATTACAGTATATACATTCTTGTATTTCTCTTTCCAGTCTACAATATTTTCTAACACTTAACTAACTTTTATATTTCTTTACAACATGGATTCAGCTGCATTTTTTTTATTTGAAAGTCAAATGTTCCTTTGCTCTTATGAAAGTGACATTTGTTTTACACTCTTGGAGCTGTTTTTTACTGCATTTAGCAGGAAAACTGCAAAACTTGACAGACACTTTCAGTATTTAATTTTTTCAGGTTATAAGCCAAAGTAAAACAATAATAAATTACAGGAAGAGTTCATATTTGGGAAAATAGAAATGAAAATGAGTTTTCTCATCCAATATATTAGTCATAACGTCATGTTATTTAAATTAAATCTAAATTCATGCCACAGGAACTTTCTTCTCTGAGGAATTAAGAAGCTGGTAATATTTTATTTTCCTCCCTGAAATTAGTCAGTATTTTTTAAAGCATAAATTGAAAAAAAAATTATTCAGGTTTCTTCATTAAAAAAAATAAAGAACACTGTTTCTAAAAAGACTAAGTTGGTCCTTAAAGATGAATGGCTCATATTCACCAAGAATTCATGGCAACCCCTTGGTGAACTTTCTAATTCAGTAGATGAGGCACCAACTTGTCTGATCAAGAAAATCATGGAGAAAGGTTATTGAGAAATATATTTGGGCCCTGCTGTGGATTTTCAAAAGATGGGCTGGGAATCTGAATGTTT